ATATAAAAAAATTTCTAACTTTTTATGTTTCCGTTCTAGGAGAAAAAATAACATGATTGATTTTTTAGAGATCTATTTTCTATGGCTGAACTAGTGTACACTTTTGGAACTTAAAGTGAGGAAGGTGTTTGATATATTTGTCGAAAGCGAGAAACAGTTCTAAAGAGGAACAGTTCTAGTGCAGGAACAAACCATAGATTTTTTCGTATTGCAGTTTTTGAATTCAAAATTTTCGCTTACTCCCTCTTTTCAATATTAGAATATATATTTATCTCGTTTGAAGTGACAAATATCTTTAGGGATTTTAAGCAATGCGAATAAACTTACTGCTTTAGTTATCTTGTATGATTTTGTTTTATACATCTTTTGAGAGTATGATTCATACTTAAATACATACTATTGTTGAGTATATTTATTCAATTGTCGTGCAATACAATGTAACTATTAATAGAATTTGTATTCTTCCTACAAGATAATCATATATGTCAATGGGCAAAACATACTATTGCGACTATTGTGACAGATCTTTCAAAGATGATGTCGAAGCTCGTAAAAAGCATCTATCCAGTATGCAGCACATGACAAATCGAGCGAGTCATTACAGCACATTTAAAGGTAAGCATTAAATAATGTTTTTCTTATTTCTTTGTTTAATGCCATTATATATTTTACATAACCTCTCTTGTACTTGTGTATAATTAATCAGATTATAATGCACTAATTTATTATTAACATCTTTAGATCCAGAAACAATATTAAAGGAAGAATACTGCAAAACTCCATGTAAACACTATATAACCATTGGAGACTGTGCGTTTGGTTCTGCTTGTCGATTTTCGCATTACACACCATCAATGATATGGGAACTTCAACAGCTTGGTAAGAGTCTAGCCAGATAAATTTGCATAATTGCATAAACATATACAAAGAAAATTAACAAATCATATTTTACGTGCGTTCTTATGAAATGCAATTAGGTAATTTTCTTTATACAAGTTATTCATCATGTAAGTTTGTTTGGATAGACTAATTATTCTATTTATTCTATCGACCATCCTATTATTGCCACATAAAATGTTAATCTTCAATAAATAAACTATTTCTAGCGATGAAAAAGTCCAAAGTCTCAATAGCTCAACCTAAGAATGGCTGGCCAAATTCAGAAGATATTATCAAGGAATATTTCGAGAATGTAATCGACTCGAGCAACACCGAGGATCTTAATCATTTGATGTGGAACGCACCGTCAAAATTAATCGATTATCCTTATTTACCACCTTCTTTGCAGCCCATTATGTCGGAAAGAATGATGGACTGCAATTTTAGCAAATGGGGTTAAAAGACTGATTTTTAGAAATTCTAAAAATAAACGTATTTATATTGATAATCCTATCGTGTTCAGCTGCTCGAAGTGATAATCCCAAATTGTACATTTACCTCACCAAGCTTCGAACTAAACAACAATCGGCGTTGCTATCATTCAAACCAGAGAGAAACCTGAGAGTGCATATTAGCAAACCTTTTTTGCTTATATCAGTATACAATGTCCATTATTGATTTATGTACTATTGTTATTTTATGAAACTGTGAATAAAATCGTAGTGTCGAAAATATGGATATGAGGAATGTCGGTGTTAATAAGATCTTGGCAGCTCTTATTAAAGTCTCTTTCACCAATTCTGATTAACGCTAATTGAGGGTCAACTCAATCATCGCGATTGTTAGAATTAAATCATTTATCTCAGAAGAGAAAAAGAGAGGAGATATTCTGATATATTAAAAGACTGTTGAAACTTTTACGAAATTGTCGATTAATTTAATTAGAAATTGATAAAAAAAATCCTTAGCCGGACACTACATCATTGTAAAATAGACATGGTACTGAACTTTCATAGCAAAACATAGACGTTGGTGCGCTGATGTAAAGACCTCCTCACTAATTTCTGGTTAATCGACGTTCAATGTTTTTATCAATGCAGTTTAATTTTAATCTCCATTCACAATTAACTCTCACGATTCACTCTCCCTCTGTTTCTAATTCTTAAAACGTCTATTATTTCTAAGAATTAGAAAAATATTAGAAATAAAGTTGAATCGAGATTAAAATGAATAATCTACATTAATAGAAAGGGGCTTTAATATATCAAACGCTTTTCAACACAATTGAACCGATCTCATCAACTCCGATTAACTTAATCGACCGATTGTTATACTGGAATTGACCAATCGCATTTTCTGTTCAGCAGAATTGACAAATCACAGTTAATATTTAATTGAACGATTAGGTTTAAGAATCGAGAGAGATTGTGGAGACGTCTACCTTAATGTCTGAAAATGTCGCTGCAAATGCTTGAAAATATTTTTCAGGGATTTTTAATGACATTCAGAGACTTTTTCAAGGAAATTTTGGGATTATTAGATTTTCTGAAAATTATTTCCAAGTGTCCGAAAGCTTCTGAATTTTGCTGAAATTCGGGAATTTAGTGATATCTCTAAAGATAGAATTTTCATAGTTTTCAGAGGCTTTCAGAGGATTTTTTGAAAATAATTTTCAAAGATCTGAAAGTCCCTGATCTGAATTTCTTGGAAATGATGTCTCTGAAACTTAAATAGATAATAAATCAATTGAAGAAATGATGTAGTACGTAACGCAAGAAACTCATAATCCAGAGGTCCCAAGTTCGAATCCCACTAGGTGTTTTTCAAAATAATTTCAGGTAAAATCATTATATATATTTTGTATGGAACAACTTCTGTTAAGAATAGAAATAAAATTTATAAGTCTTATAATATGAATTTTTTTTCGAGTATTATATTGAAAATCTTTAAAAATCTGACAAATTCTGAAAGTCTACAAATATACTATAAAAATCGTTAGAAATAACTTATAAAAATCTTTAAAAATAATTGAAACATCTTGACAAATCTCTGAAATTATATTGGAAAATTCTCTGAGAAGCAACGTTTCCAAAAATGCGAACATTTTGAAAAAAATTTTTAGATTTTTTTAAAGAAATTTTCAGAGAAATTCAGAGAATTTTTTTCATTAGCTCTAAGAGGGATGTCCCTTAAGGATTGCAACACAAAAATCGAAATTGCTTGGAAATAGTAACGCAAAAATCAAAGATATATTTTGCATAATTTTAGCGTAATTTTGCGATTTTAAACGACTTAGAGATGAATATAACTGTGTGCTCCAAGAGGGAAGTGCCTTAAGGGATGCAGCGCAAGAATTGAAACTGTGTGAATAAGAAAGCGCATAAATAGCGCATAAATTTTATATATTTAGTTTTTCAATTCGGTTATTAAAACATGGAGGAGGCTGACTGTCAGCCCCCCCCCCGCAAAAAATTTTTTTTAGCTAAACGAAATGAGCGCAAAAATTTTCTTGCGGCTTTTGAGAGTTCATAAATAGCACATTATTATATAATTTATTCATTAAGATTTGGTTAAGTGGGGGAGGGGGGGGGGGCAGCTAGGCAGATGTTCTGTCAAGGGGCGCATGACTTTCGTAAAGCAAGTTTCACTCCACCTCCTCCCCTGTCAAGGGGAGGCAAACGATTTTCCACGTGAAGCGAAATTTTTCCCTTCTTCCCTCTATCGAGAGAAAAATAAATATATACCTTATATTTAAAAATTGTGTGCTATTCATAAAAATTGTTTTGTTCATAATTTTTTAATGAACAACGAGCGACGGAAAAGATAATCAATTCATTATTTTTATCATCACTTTAATCCTTAGTAATTTTTATATTTATTCAATATATAGATATTATTTTTAATTAACTTATAAATATTTTATTTGAAT